TGGATACTCCATCAATTATAGCCATTAGCATCCCTAACCCTCAGTTTTTTGCCCACTTGTCTTCAATTGCTGGAACACCGTAATCATTTGCCTAAATCCCGTCTGCTGTGGACACACTCTATTCCTGCTTCCAGCTCAGAAGGCTTGCTTTTGAGATGCCCTTCAGCACCACGATCTGGCTACGGTTTACATATGTCCTTTACCAGGCGTGACTGGGATGCCCCAGATACGGCCTGACCAGGGCAGCATGAATGAAGTCATTACTTCCCTTAATCTCTACCCTCTCCTCTTCTGAAGGTTGTGTTCCAATTTTTTGCAACCATGTCCTGCCCTTGACTCTCATTAAGCTTAGAGACATTTAGGCTCAATTCAAGGAGGCAGGGAGGAGGGAGAGAGGACAAAGGGAACATTTGCTTACTGCTTCTCTTCTTTTTCTTCATGTCAGGACCCTTTAGAAATCGGTTCTCTGTCTGATAACTGTGTCAACAGCTGACTGGGTAGTGGTGCTAGGAATAGAATGGTCCATTAAAGGTTCTACGGTTCCCAGGCTGGTAGCATCTGGGCCCAGCCCCTGACTCCTTCACAAGCAATCCCTGTCTTGATCTTGCCTGCTGATACAATGATAAATTAATGTGTGGTGTCCTTTCTTCACCTCTTGCTTCCTACTCCAGCAGCCTTGAGTCCTATCTCCAATGAGGAAGATTTCATTTCTGGCATTTGAGAAAAATGGTCACTCTGACCTATGATTTCTCTGCAGGAAAAACTTGAAGCATGCCTGGACTTTGATTTATGGATCTCCACTGCTTACAATTTATTACCCAGCACTTTCACCTTTGGTCTCTCTCATTCTTTCTCCTCTCCAGCCTTTGAGCACCTCCAGCGTTCTCCCCATGGCTTCTCCTTCTGAATTCTCCTGTCTTTGCTGTGTGAATGCAAACATTGGTTTAGTGCCTGTTATGTACAAAGTCCTGTGCTGGGTGCCTATGGCAGTTGTTACATTTCAGCCTAACAACAGCCTGACAATGTAAATATCTCTATTCTCATTCTACAGTCAGAAAACAGGATCAGAGAGGTGAAGTGACTTGCCCTAATGGGCTCCAAAGCTTGTGTGCTTTTTACTCTAATACATGACTTTAAATCATGGCTAACATTTACTTAGAACTAATCAAATTATCCATATTATCTTATCCTCCCAAGAACACTGTTATTGTTCCCATTTTACTGATGCCATAACTAAGAGTTAGTACCATGGAAGACCTTGTTCACCATTCACATAGCTGTAAGTTATAAAGCTAGGATTTGACTCCGGGACTCCAGAGCCAAGCTTTTCATCTTGACTGTATGCCAGTGGTCCCCAGAATTTTTTTGGCACCAGGGACCAGTTTCATGGAAGACAATTTTTCCATGGACTGGGTGGGAGGGTGGGAGGAGGCATAGCTCAGGTGGTGGTTCCCGGCCCAGTTCCTAACAGACTACTGATGGATACTGGGCTGCAGCCCAGGGGTAGGGGACCGTAGCTCTATGCAATCAGGAGCCCTTGTTCTTGTTTTGCCGTTGTTACCAACTAATCATTTTCCCACTCCTAACCTCAGTTTCCCCATCGATACAAAAGCAGGCTGTGTCCAGTTGAGTTCCAAGATTCTCTTTGAGGAAACGGCTGGGCTTTGAAGGAGTAGCATTTGGGCATGCTGGAAGAATTGTCTTTTCGAAATTCATTTTTTGTTTATCACTTATTTTTGTGACAGTCTGGATCAGACAATGACTCTCCATTGCCCAAAGAAAAAAGTCCAAATAGTCCAGCATGGCTTAGCAGAGCCTGGGTGGTCTGATCTCTGCCAAGCACGCTGGTCTCCCTCCCTTTCTCTGCACTGGCCATTGCAAACAGCTGGGGGTCTGTGCGCTCTCTGGTCTCACTTGGGATGGGCCATTTCCTCTGTCTTCTCATCGACCTGAAAAAACTGTTTCATCATTGAAAGACCTAGCTGAGGTACTGCATCCTCTGAGAAGTCTTCTGTGAGCCCCCAAACTGGTGACGTGGTTCCCATCTGATATATTCTCACAGTACCTTCCATGTCCTTCAACCAGGTTGAAGTTGCAGTCCGCCCCTGAGTTAGAGGCTGTTGATATTTCTGTCTCCTGTCACTGACTTATCAAAGACACTTACGGCTTAAACCAGGTCATATCTATCCCCAGGGCCTGGCACACAAAGGACACCCTAATAACATCATGAAGATGATGATGATGGTGGTGCTAATAATGATGATGATATTTTATAACATGTATCAGGTGCTTCCTATGCAACAAACACTTCTCTAAGAGTTTCACATGTCTTAACCTACTTAATCCTCACTATAACCCTCTGAGATGAGCCATATTGTCTTTCCATAGATGAAGAAACAGAGAAATAAGCAACTTTTTTTTTTTTTTTTTTTTTTTACCAGTACAGAGACTGTCTCCATGTGGAACCCACTTTTCTCTATATGCCAGCATCTTCAAGATGCCCGGCATCCAGGGAGGCTACACGAGGGGCTCTCTCTCCTACTGTCCTCTCCGTGTTTTCTTCTTCATCTGACACCAACCAGCACCTCTAAGTACAAACAGTTAACACCTGGATGTGCCCTTGGCCTGGTGTCTTGCTGCCAGGTTTGCCTCCCCCACACTCATTTCTCCTAGGGGCAACCAGAAATGTTTTTAAATAGTTCAGTTCCAAACCTGTTACTTTGCTTCTTGAAACCTTTCCATATTTGAGAACTTACCCTTGAGACAGTAATCATAGATGACATTTATTGAGGGCTTATAATAGATTTGTTATTTCTTTTTAATCATTTTTATTTTATATACTTATTTATTTATTTTAGAGACAGGGTCTCACTCTGTCGCCCAGGCTGGAGTGCAGTACCTCGATCGTAGCTCACTGCAGCCTCAAACTCTTAGACTCAACTGGTCTTCCTGTCTCAGCCTCCCGAGTAGCTAGGACTGTCTTCACACAGCTCTATCACTCTCTTGTCACTAGTACTGTGATCTGGATCAGACGGTCTGTCTTTCCCACCGGATCAGAAGCTCCACCATATACTACGTGCTCAATAAACGAGCAAGGAACCACTTTATCCCCTTCAACTTCACAACAGCCCTGCTTTTCACATAAAGAAGCAGGTTTAGAGATGTTGACGTCAGTTTCCCAAGGACACAGAGTTCTTAGCGAGTGGAGCAAGAACTCAAACGAGGAGGGGTGAAAAATAAACTCCTCCGGCTCCTCCTGTGGGGGGCACCCGCCCGAGAGGAGAGAGGCCCGTGGATAGAGTGTGATTATGGAGTGATGAATTCTTGGCACCTCAGGAAATATTCCGCCCAAGTGGTGAACTATACAAAGAGGACTTTTTGAAAGGCACCTCATAAATCGTGCCCACAAAACGTGCACACATAAGCCTGGCCCTTTTTCAGCTGCCGTGCAGGTGCCTAACAGTCTCCTGTTTGTGGGGTCTGTTGTCGTAAAATTCCTTCAGAGGGGCACAGGGAGGACAGCAGGAGAGAGAGCCTCTCGGTAGCCTCCCGGGGTGCCTGGGCACCTTGAAGATGCTGGGACGTAGAGAAAAGTGGCTTCCACATGGAGATAGACACCTTGGCACTGAAGCTGACCCTGGTGTGACCTGGGAAAAGGACATCCGTTTCCTCTCTGAGCCTTGGTTTCAACGTTTTAAATCAGAGTCGGTCAGACTAGGTCACTGGTTGTCATCTGGGGTGATTTTGCCCCCCCAATGGACATGTGGCAATGTCTGGAGACAGTTTTGTTGTCACGACTGAGGCAGAGGCGCCTATAGGTTGTGGGTTGAGGCTCTAGAATGCTACTGAACGTCCTGCAGGATGACTCCCGCAACAAAAAATTATCCAGCCCAAATTGTTGGAAAATTAGGTGATCTCAAAGATCCTCCCTAGCTTTATTTGTCTGTGCAGCCTTCAGGTTTCTCACAGATCCTCTCTGGTCTCTAGGGCTCTGGATAAGTTCCTAATGATGACCACCAGAGAACAGAATAATCCTTGCTAAGACCAGTGTTCAGTGTGACTTCGATCCCGAGGCATCGTTATAATAATTCTTTATAATAGTAGCTACCATTTATTGGAAGCTTACTCTGTGCCAGGCATTGGGCATTTCTCATACTCAACTTATGAGGATGAGACCATCCTCACTCTCTTAAAGACAGGAAAAACAATGAGTTACAGAGAAGTTCTGAGTTGGAGACACATATATTTAGGCATTGAGGAAAGAGAATCACAGAGGGTAAGACTTCCAACTTTCCTAACTGGGAGAAAAGAGTATGAAAGAGTTTGTGAAGCAAGAAAGCAGGCAGTTGGAGAGTGTCTTTGGGGATGCTCAGGCCTAGATTCGAATGCCAAACTGCAACGGTCACCTTGGCGTCTGACCTGGTTAAGTCAGGTCATTACTCTGAGCCATGCTTGGGCACCTCACCTATTAAATGGGGGTGGAAAGAATAATACATTCAGGACTGATGTGTAGACTAAATACAATTTTTTGTTTTTATATTTTTTCATGGCGTTTCTAGAAGTGAATAAATACAGTTTTTTAGATGTGTGTAAAGTGCATACCCAGTGTCTAGCTAGCATATGGTACGTGGCAATAAGTTTTAGTTATTATATATTGTTGTTTTTTTTTTTATCATTATTATAATCGTTTCTATTTGGTCAGAGTCCCAAGGCTGGTGACCTTGTAACTCCTAAGGTTCCCCTATCCTAGAAGTGAAAACTCGAGGTCAAAGTTTAAGCTCTCTTTCATTTTGTACATGTTGCACAGGTAACATGGACAGGTTCTAAGTTAATTTTTGAATAGGCGTTTGAGATACCGCACTCAGGTCAGGAACGGATAGAAAAAAACTGTTGGGACAAGCAGTTCCCATTTGTCTACTGACCTTCATTTGCCACCTGGAAGGCCTAACCCTCGGTCTGGGCACCGTCCTTAATCGCGGCTGTCTCGTCTTGCCTTTCAGGAAGGCCCACCTGATCCTGCGGCGGCTGGAGAGGGTGAGCAGCCACTGCTCCAGCCTCCTGCGAAGCGCCTACATCCAGAGCCGCGTGGACACGGTGCCCTATCTTTTCTGCCGCAGCGAGGAGGTGCGGCCCGCAGGCATGGTGTGGTACAGCATCCTCAAGGACACCAAAATCACATGTGAGGAGAAGATGGTGTCCATGGCCCGAAACACGTACGGGGAGTCCAAGGGCCGGTGAGGGAGGGTGCTGCCCTCCGTGAGCACAGAGACTCTCCGTGGGAGGGGAGCAGTCTTCTCGTGGATCCTGGGGCCTGGGTGGGCTGGGGGACAGCTGAGGATGGGCCTGGCAGACGCAGCTTGCCAGCAAGGCCAAAGCAAACTGTTTCTCCTGCGGATAGCGGACTGAGAACTTTGTAACCAAGGGAATTATTCGCTTTTCTCTATCTTTTATTTTTTTTCTAAGATATTATTTGAGTCTATGAAAAGTCCCTCCTTTTTAAACCTTTTCTTATGGATGGCAGTCAGTCCTGAGGCAGGAGCTTTCGGGCGGAGACCAAGCGGCCTTTCCTCTTCTTCCTCCCTCCTGCCACTCTCAGCTTGCTTCCTGCCCTGGACCCCTGGAGAAGACCTGTGGAGAGACAGCTTTACCTCTTCAGCTTCAGGAAGGAAGCCCTGGGGATTGTCGCAGTGAGGAAGCTTGGGTCTTTAAGGACTTCTCTTTTATTTTTCTCCCCAGGCGTTATTGAGTTTGCAGGACCCCTGCCTCTTCCTGCTACCTAGGGGTCTGCCCAGAGTCCCTGCAGGACTTTCCATGCATTAAAAATTCCTATTGTCTCTCTTCTGCTTGGGTGGTGTTTCTTGCCCATTGTGTTGAGGGTAACAAATACTTATTGAGCATCCCTTACGGGCCAGGCACAGGGCATGCACATAAAGACAGAGAAGCTTCTTTCCCTCGGGGAACCTATGGCGCAGAGGAAATTGTAGAGAAACAGTCTAGTGATTTCAGGCCGTGATAGAGGGAGAATGGAGGTTAAAGGGTAGAGGAACCATGAACGCATTGATGGGTCATGGCACACACTGGAGGTGTCCTGAAATGCTTCCTTGAAAAAGTGGTGCCTAAGCCCAAAAGGATGAGGAGGAATAAGCCAGAGAGGTGGAGAGGATGGGATTTGCTCTAGGCAGAGGGGACGCCATGAACAAAAGCCCAGAGGTAAGAGAAAATACAACTCATGCAAGCGCTTTCATTGAGAATAGGAATCGAGTTGGGAAGTGGGGAGGCTAGGGGCTTGGCAGGGCATTGGAAGCTTTGGACAGGGGGGTTGACGGTATCTGGAAGTAACCAGGGACCTACCTCTGCAGAATTTTAACAAATTACCAAAATAGTCAACTTGCTCTTTAAGAAAAAATCACTCTAGCTTGGGGTAAAGGATGAATTTCAGAAAGCCCCGAAGAGATGGTGGCCATTGACATTTTCTAGACAAGAGGTGAGGGCAGCTTGGATGCTGTGGTCCTGAGGGAGACATTCCAGCATTGGAATCTCCTTTTATTCATCTACTTTTAAAACCAGCTTTATTGAAATATAATCTTCTTCTAAATGGCAATCTTGCTTCTTCCAGGGTGTTCCCTAGAAGGGTAATGAGTACAAAGAGGCATTACAAATCCTTAACACCTGGTATTAGCCCAGATAAGCTAGCTAGAGGGAATGGGATGTGGGTCAGGTGTGTCATAATGCAAAGATGACACCTGTTTAAGAGAATGGAGCAGGGCACTGTGGGTATTCAGAGGAAAAGACGCCGAATAACAGTAAAATATAACCAGTTGAAAGTACGCCTCCTTTCCAATCTGGTGAGTACTAATGAGAGCAACAGTCTCCTTCCTGAAAACCTACATGCTGAGGCTTTTTCCCCCAGGGCCGGGATTCATATGGGGAAAGTGGGTAATGTAAGGGGAACAAAGCAGAAAGGGATTCTTCCAATGTAAGTGCCCTAGGGCGTCTCCACCTCCAGCAATCTAAGCTCCAAGATGCTCTTTTTGAGAAGTTGTTATTATCATTAGGTTTATGTTCCTGCAAGTGTACAGGTGGAGTTTCTAAATGCCTCTCATGTATACCCTTTCCTGAGCCCGGGGTCCTAGGCCTTCGCTAAGCTATGAGATTGCTGTGACTTTCCACTGCCATGACCCAACCTGAGAAAAATTAAGCTCAACAGTTGCAGAAAATTAAACCACTTCGTGTGCCGGGGCAGTGGTCTGAGCCTGATTAAGTCTGAGTCTGACTCCACCGCTGTTCACCAGCTATTGCCCTTCGGTGAGTACTTTGACATTTGAACCTCAGTTTCCTCATCAACAAAATGGGGTCAATGGTGGAGTCAAGTCCCACTTTATGGGGTTATTGGGCAGCCGGAGTGGGAGAGGCGCTAACACGCATCAGTGCAATATGCAGTAGGGGTGTTTACTCCTCATAGAGACAATGTGCATGATACTATGAATCTCGGACAGACAACTAGAAAAACCGCCTGGGAAAGACCTAGAGAATTCTGATGAAGAGAAGGAATTACTGACTGACAGCTCTGTGAGACATAGGAATTGTAAATAGTATCAAAAACTTCGAGGGAAGTGGTCGCGATGGTGGGAATTAACACCGTAGCAAGAGCCACAAAGAGGAATGTCTGGTTTTCTCTGAGGCTGTCACAGCTGTGGCCCTTGAAAATGTCCATGTCAGGCTGTCCCCAGCTTATTCTCCCATCCATGCCCCTCTCTGATTTCAGCTCCCTTTTCTTGGCACCTGCTGGTGGCGTCTGCTACTGTCCCAGCCATCAGAAGGCTCTCAAAAGCAGGAAGCCAGAAGCCTAGTTAGACAGGTGTGTGTGCGTGCACACGTGTGTGAACACGTGATGCGTGTGTACCCTGCCATGGCAGGAAAGGAGGTTAGAACAATATTTGTCAAGACGTTTCATTGGGAAAGAAAAAGAAAAATTCTTGAAGTGTAAACGAAGCAGCTGGGTACGGTGCCGTGGCCCCTGATTCGTGTGCTGCCATGGAAAATGCCAGGGAAGCTCATGCCACGATATGCCGACAAGGATAGGACTTCTCCTGCCGTCTCCACCATGATAGAAAGAAGTTGTGAACATACAGAGATGTGTGTCAGGGGTCAAGATATCACCTCTGAGTGACCCTCTGCTTTTATGTATGGTCAAGAAGGATCTTCTCTGGGCAGGCTCCATGACAAAGCATGTGGTACACAGACAAATGCTGGTAACTACCCTTGAGGGACTCTCCGTGCCATCAGTGACTCCACGTATTTATGTCATTTATCCATGTGCCGAGCAGCCATGTACTATTGTGATTACCATTTTACAATTAACCACTTCGGTACGGCGCTCACGGGCCGCGAAACCTTGCCCACAGCCGGCACTCACAGTCCGCACGATGGTTTGTGCTGTGCAATGACAACGAATCCATTTTGCTCTTGTGTGATGAGGGAAGCTTTACAGCACTGAAAGCTTGTTTTACTTTATAGGCAGCTTCACTTGTAATGCAAATCAGAATAGGTAACATATACATATATATTTTCACTACATTTTTTTTTTTGAGACAGAGTCTCGCTTTCTTGCCTAGGCTAGAGTGAGTGCCGTGGCATCAGCCTAGCTCACAGCAACCTCAAATTCCTGGGCTCAAGCGATCCTCCTGCCTCAGCCTCCCGAGTAGCTGGGACTACAGGCACGAGCCACCATGCCCGGCTAATTTTTTCTATATATATTAGTTGGCCAATTAATTTCTTTCTATTTTTATGGTAGAGACAGGGTCTCGCTCAGGCTGGTTTTGAACTCCTGACCTTGAGCAATCCGCCCGCCTCGGCCTCCCCGAGTGCTAGGATTACAGGCGTGAGCCACCGCGCCCGGCCCTCACTACATTATTTTTAAATGTTCACAATTTTATTTTGAGAAATGAAAAATTAGAAAAGTCATATCACGGTTGTCGGCTAAAGTCGACGCTCAACAGTGTGCCTTCATAGCACGGCTGTTGGCTAAAGTCCCTGTGCGTGTTCATCTGTGGCTATCGACTATAGTCGGCGCTGGTACCAAAGTGGTTAAAGAAACCGATGTTTAGGCAGACAGAATAACCTGCCCGAATCCTACAGCTAGTAAGTGATGATGTTGAGATCCTGAGATCTAAACTTGGGCAGACAAAATAATTCTAACAGGTGAACGCTGTGCTTACTACCTCCTAGGGCAGATGGGTGCAAGGCCTCCATTCTCCATTTTCAGTCAAAAGCGAAGTCTAACTTCCAAACTATACCTGAGTACTGATTTCCAGGGTTGGGGTACTGAGATGAACAGAATCCAGCTCCTGCCCTTAAGGAACTCCCAGAATTTAGCTAACTGAATAGGAGGGTGATAAAATCAGACACTTTGGAGTCAAGCCAATCTGGGTTTAGATATTGGCCATGAGATTTTCAGTGAGGAGGGGCTAAACACGGAGAAATTGGGAAGGCAAACTCAGCAGGTCTTGCTAACTTAGAGGCTCAGGTTAGCTGGCATTAACTTGGGTAAGCCTCAGTTTACTCATCTGTGAAGGGGATAAATATACTACTTCAAAAGACTATTGGGAAGATTAATTTAGATGATGTATATAAAGCCATGGGATGCTTGAAATAAAAGCACTCCTAGTTATTATAATGACTTATTTACAGAAGAAAGGGTGGGTGCAATGGGCTCTGCCTTTGGAAGGCAAGTCATCTTCCCAAAGCCTTCACAGAGGATGTGTAAGAGTTAAGTAAGTTGAGCAATACAGGCAGGGCATTATGGGTAAAGAGACCAGCTCATAATATCAGTGAAAAAGCGTACCATGTTCGAAGGATGGTGAGCAACTGGTGTGGGTAGGGAGATGGAAGGTGTGTTTGGAGAAGTTGTCAGAGCCAGAACACATTGGCCATTGTAAAGCACTGGATTGGAAGCAGAAGAGCTGTGACATGGGCAGACAGGCAATTTGATAAGCCCCTTGGGCTGCAGAGCATGAGTGGAGAGGAGAGAGCCAGTGGCAAGGAGACTAGACAGCAGAGAGTAAGTATTGTTTAGATGGAAGAGGAAGCCTGAGCTAGGGCCGTTGCAGTGATGAGGTTGGATCTGAGAGGTGTTAAGGAAGTTGACTCAACAGCACTTGCTAAGTAAGGCCCGATGACTTGGGTTTTCTCTTTCTTCACTGGTGACTGAGTGTTAGACTGGGCAGAACCAGCTGGGGCGTGAAGAGGATGATGAATCACATGGGTTCAATGGGCAGTGACTAGATGAGGCATGGTTTGCATCATGCAGGTATGGCATGGAACATCAGAGAGCCAGGAATATAATTTAGCTTTATGCGGAAACCAGTCCTGGACCTGAGTGTAATTATGCACAAATGCAATATGACTTCCAAGTGCAAGTGTATGAACCATAGGGAGGTGCTTGTGTCAGTCACACAGAATTTTGTGGAAGAGTAAAGTGCTAGATCCATGGGAAGAATGCTGAGTTCCCTCCTGCCCCTCCTCTTCCTCATCACTAACCTCATCACCACCTTCATTTAATTGATTTATTACTTATCATAAATCATATTATTTACATAAATATTATTTCATATACTCTTCACAACTACTCTGTGATAAATAAATTATCACCCTCATTTTATATAATAGATGAAAGAAATGAGCCTCAGAGAATTTAAGAAACTTCCTCATGTCAGGCATTTAGTATGTGGTAGAACCAAATTTCAACCTAGATGACCTCCCTGAGACTTTCTGCCTCTCTTGGAAGGAGCTGATAACTCTTTCCTCTAAGGTCTCATACCAGGAACTCCCTAACTCCATTT